TAATCACTACTACTGCTTGCCTTTCTGTTTCCTGGCTTTACCTTGCTTCTGTGTACGGTCCTTAAGCAGAGTGGAGAGGGCGTAAGAGGATAGAGGGGAGGATAGAGGGGTAAAAAGGTTGTGATCTGTAAGCAAAGTAGCATTGACCAAACCATTTCTGAGTGGGACACTCTTGCACAGATGTCATTGGATCCGTAAAGTGCAAGGTAGGAAGTAACCAAGACAGTGACCAATCTATTCATTATGATGTTGCTTAAGAGGCTTCAGGATTTCCAATTAAATTTGGTGAAGTGTTGTGCCCATCTCAGCTAAAGCAGCTTGTAGCAGCTTAGCTTCCCTTGTTGTATCAAAAGAAAAGTTTGAATCAAAAAAAACATGCTTGGAAATAATTCTTGGGGCAGGGGGGAAGGTTGCACAGAGCCTTTTTTTGTACATATCTCAAGCACAAGGAAAAGGTGGCCAAGAGTTGTAGCCCAACAGTGCAGATGGGAGGAAGGCGGAGAGATGCCGTCCCGAGTTTTCCCAAGAGAGCGTGGAAAGCCTGATGGCAACACGCGACGGGACCAGAGGGTCTAATCGCTGCCCTCGGCGCACCTCTGAAATGTGTTCCAGTACAAGCTGTGAGATGGAGTTGGACAATTAAGGATGCAAACAACTGGGACTCATCGTGATACAATTGCCGTGAGTATCCAAACAACAGGGTAAACAAGAGACCAAACTAAGGCAAAGCAACGCAGGAACAGAGGGCAGCCTCGCGGTTTTGTCTGTTGCGAGACAGTATACATGCTCACGTATTTTTTGCAGCTCTGTAGTAATACTTTCTGTTAGGGCTGCAATGAAACACTGACATTTGGTCTGCTGCACCGCTGAGCTGATGCAGGCCCATTCCCATGAAGGCCGATGTTGGCAAACCCAGACTCTCTGCAATCAGACACCTACACGTGGGTGGACTACTGCTCTCACGTTCCGTACGCTCAGGCTAGCTGCTTGAAGTTTTATCTGTGTTTAAACACCCTGGAAGAGGATGCCAACCAGTTAGGCACTGTAGACTCTTCCTCCCACTGCAAAGCTGCCAGAAGCTTCGTGCAGGATTAACGCACAAGCTCAGCTCCGTGGGACAGCTGTGCTGCTAGCTGAAGACACAAACAAACCAGGGCACGCAGACAGGCAGGAAAAAGCTCTCACAACCATCTGCCCTGAAGCACTGACCAAGCTACCAATGTCTGAAACATCACTAGGGTCACAGACCATAGAGAGAGATGTTAACTGTAGGTGCCTCAGGATAAATTCATTCCCTAGAGATAACAGAGAGGATCCAGTCATGCTGCTAGGGCTGAGAGGTTTGGCAGAGAGTTTAAGAGAAATACGAGGCTGCACCTAGGTTTCCAGGCTCTCTTGCGTTATTTCTTCTCCCAGGCATTATTGGCCGAGCTACAATCCAGGAATTATTTTTCTTTCCTTATGTCTGCAGGTGCTAGGCCAAAGGGTAGAGCCACTTCAGTAGCACTAAAGCCACAGACTTCCCTACGTAACGCTTCTCCTCCACGTATTTCACACAAGAGGGTGATGCCTTCTTCCGTTAATGGGAAACAAGCCAGAGCAAGGGGCACGTTTCACCCTCTGCTCTGAGCATAAGTTAACCACCCCTTCCCCCCATATTTCTGTGTTGTAATTAAAAATAAAGCAGCAAGTATAAGTTGCTACTGATTGAAATAGCTTCCTGTTTCCACCTTGTAGTTCCCATTGAAAATAGCCACTTGAAAAATAGAGAGAAGGAAAACAGCTTTTCAGAGATTGTGTTTTTTTCACATGTGACAGGATAGCTCTTCCTAAGCCTGTACTTAGCCTGAAATTGTGCTATGTTTTAGAAAGATAAACCCAGCAGCTGATTAACAAATGCTGCTCTCATCCTGAATTACTCCGAAGCTCTGTGGAGGTCATATTAGCACCAAATGAGATGGTTCTAATCAGGGGTATAACAGGAAACACAGATTAGTTTATAATTAATGCAAAATTAAGTGGTCATCAGGGATGCTGATTTAAGCTTCTTGGAAGGTAATAGAACAGATTTTCAAACTCTTTCTCTCTTTTCAGCACCTACTGAAAAAAGGTGTCCCTAACATGCGTGGTAAGAAAGATTAGAACTCAGGGCACATCTGATAGTATGTTGCCGAGTTTGAAAGTTTTAAGTAATATGACTTAATAAAAGCTCATTTTCTATCTCCAGGTCTTGTTCCTTCCCTGTGGATTTTTGTCCAGTCTGAGAAAATCACTCTGCTCCCATGCAATGGCCTGCCAAAGCTCACAGATTTCAGCACTGCTATTCTGCTCCTCTGAGCAACAGTTCAGGACAGGACAGTTTACTGGGTAAGCCTGGACTGATAGAGCTATACTTTCACTTACACAGCTGCATTTCTAGGGCAACTCCACCAGCGATGGGTTTTCATCAGTGTCATACCGAGAAGAGTTTAGTTTTCTAGAAAGGAAGGGAAGCTAGTGGCTTCCCTTCTGCACAGGAGGTGTTTCAGCGGGGGAACAATTTTCCTTGAGATAGCTTACACCATCTTGTAGAGTAAACCTACAAGACAGGGAACACTGGGAACAGAAGAAGAGATGCCAGTCTGAGAGTTTTAGGATGCAAGAAATGAACTGACTGGGCAGATTTGAGAAACGCAGCTCGGATTTGCTATTGACGCCATCCTTGCTAGGGCCAAATACACCTTTCATGTACACAGCCTGGTAAAAAAGTTAGTTATCTGATAACTTTGGACTGTATGAAACTGAGCATACAATGTAAGTGTTCTCCCATTCTGCTTCTGTGAACTCCCAGTGTTTTTAGCAAAAGAATATTTTTGCACTTACCTGCAAACAGTTTTGCGGTTTGTATAGATCCCATCTGAACGATGTGCAGTGGTCCCCGAACACAATCTTAACATGAGGTTACAAGAAGCTTCATAGATTTCTAACAACCGTATTGGAGAGTTGCTGGGCAAAATAATGTAAAAATTAGTCTAAATTATGTTCCAGAGCTGTACTCTTGAGAGAGCAACTGACATGGCAATTAGGAATAGTATTCCTAAAAAAAATTCAGTTGAAAGAACACAACCATTCACATCTGCAAAATACTACTCCAAATCTTTTTCAAATCAGCAGTTTAGTCATTGTAGCCTACTTACTGACATACTGGTGGCATAATACATCATTGCTTAGTCCAGCTCCAAAGGAAATGGTCACAAAAGATATCACAGTGTGTTTTGGATACAATCTCAAAGTAGACTTACAAAATCATTCCAAATAAATGCACTGGAGGCTGAATTACCACTGATCTCTAAACCTGGAAGCACAGCAGGATTGTACCTACTTTCTAGAATGTCTCTTTCTTGTCCTAAAATAACCTGAATCTATCTTTTAAATATTGCACCATATCCTGCGTTTTCATATAATAAATATTGATTAAAAGCTCCCAGGCAAAATTTAAAAAGTTCTTGTTTTCATAGCTGCAAGACAGCAATTAATGAAGAAAAGGAATGCGGTTCACTTGAGAACTGCAAAGGTACATTGCCAGTAATGACAAGGAGAACATGATGCAGATCAGCAGATAAATCACACTCTAGAAAATTCATACCCTTCACCAATTTCAGTAATTGATTTTTTTGCTGTACCTTTGTAACCTGCTGCAGAGAAATGTCATTACTTACAAAGTTAGGCATGGAATTAGTCAATGAAAATAACAGCTATAAAACAAATGAGCTGGGCACCAAATGCTCCTCTGTACAGATACCCTCCTACGTTCCCACGGGTCCATGCAACTTGCCAGTGTAGACACAGTCCTTCTCTCTGCAGAGGTACTTAGCTTACATGTCCTAAACTACGTGGAAGAGGAATTGAAAATCTTATATTCTTCCATGGTCAAAAACTTAAAGCCTGCATGTAAACATTTTTCTTAATTGTCAAACTTTTAGAATTGGGCTTTGTGGTGATGGTATTCACCTGTTCCTAGTTCATCTTTTTGTAGTTCACTTGAGGTGAAAGCAGCTCCCATCAAGAAAATCATAAAACCCTGTGGCACCACTTCTTTCACATTAATGAGCTATTTACGTAAATAAGGCCTTTTGCTGTTTTTCTGCACGAGCTAAATTCCACTTGGAGTACATTTCACCAGTAGGCTCTTGTGTTTACTTTAAGACAAAATTTTTCTGCTTTCTACTGCATTTAAATCTTGATCTATACCTCCTGTTCTTCAAATGATGCCTACAGATTGCCAAAAAAGATCTTGTGATTGTTCTACTGCATACAAAGCAGCCTGGTTGGGTGTTTTACTATTTTATTCCTCTTTGTATGAGGAATTTCATTTTCATTTTCCTATCACATGGAAAAAACAGCATGAAAATAGCCGAAACATCAACAGAGAAATTATTTGCACCTCAGTTATCACTTGTGTGCAATAGACCTCTGTACTTAGATGACAAATACCTCTCTAGGCTCTAAGTGCTCATTATCAGTCAATTTTAAAACTAGAGTAAAAGCACGCTAGGAGCAATGCTATCTCTAAATACTAAAAAAACATAGGACTGTATGCACTTTCCAATATTTACATGACAAAAGAATGTATCACAAGCCACAAACATGTTGAGAGTAATCTCTCCAATTTTACAGCTCAGCTCAAAGACAGAATATATAACATTTTTTTATAACTTTAAAGATTATTAAAAAATGTTTTCCTCATTCTGCATTTACAGGGAACTCATAAGAAGGTGTATCAACCACCATGCTGAGCATGCCATAAGTTATTAGCCTTATTCACACTATGATAAACACAATTTAAGTCATAATGATTGAAAAAATTAAATCTGTGTTTTATTACGAGATTCAAAACTGAATGTCAAAGACAAAACAATTATAAATACACTCTGGTTCTGGTTACTCCAGGAGCCCTTCATGGGAACAAACTTCTACAGCAACCACATAACTGAGAACAAAAACTTTGGGTGTTCTTAGATTCACCATCTCAAGAATTCACAAATAATTAAGGCATGTGAATTTGAACCATTAACGTAATTCCATTTTCCAGAGTCTTGTATTACTGCACAGCCTTCATTTTTTAATATTATTTGGTTCTCCAGCATTCCAGTTTCTGTAAGTTACAGTCCCTCCATTCAGATACATGAACCTGCCTGCAGTCTGTTCATCAGATATCCCCAGGTAAGCCTGCTTTGGAGCTCTTACTAAGTCTTTTAAAGCTGCCTTCTCAGCCTCAGTCCTAGAATAGGAGAGTACACTTTCAGCTTTCCCACAAAGGGATTTTCTGTTGTCAAAAGTATCTTCTTTTCCAGTTGAAGCAAATACTTTTTTACCAATACTCTCAATGTTCTTTAAAATCAAAGCTAGAAACAAAGGTGAACATAGTTGTATTATACCAAAAATTAATCACACTACAGTTATTTATCTATGTAACAACTGTACAACTGAAGTAGCCAATAGCAGCTATAAACAGACTATATGTATTAGTAGGCAGAATCAATAGAAGTCAAACAAAATAGACACCTGGAAATATCAAGCCCATACTTCTAGAAAATGAATTTCACAAGAAACTAGATCACAAATCTTGTTCTAATGTTTTTAATTTCCAGTTCATATAGTAATACAGCTTTTGAATCAGGATCTGAAGGAACTTACACTCACGTTCCAAGCACGACAAAATAGCTTGCCAGATTTCAATGCAAAAATCACACATCAATTAAAATCATACAAAGGAACTGAGCTGCAATTAGCTCTTCTGTACCCACCAGCTTTATCACAGAAACCAAAGCTGAGGGATTGTAATGAAATTCAGGGTTTAAAGCAACAGAGTAGAAAGAGGAGACATAGGGACACCTTTAGCAAGCCTAGGAAACCTAGTAGTTCTTCAGAATATACAAATTATCATAGGAGTAGGAAGAACATTTAGCTTGTCACATGCTTGACAGACTTTAATGAAAAGCCAATGGAAAGTGAAGCTCTTGTTCATTTAGCAGATAAAACTGCTACCAGCAATTCTTTTGAAACACAGTTGCTGTCTTTAATGGGCATGTTATTTTATCTTATTGTCTTTAACAGGTTTCTGGGATTAGTGTGAAGGGAGTCTACCACCTTACAACAATGTGTTGTGTTTAACCCCAGCTGGCGACTAAGGCCCACGCAGCCGCTCGCTCACTCCCTCCTGGTGGGATGGGGGAGAGAATTGAAAGAGTAAAAGTGAGAAAACTCAGGGGTTGAGATAGAGACATTTTAATAGGTAAAGCAAAAGTCATGCACACAAGCAAATGTTTTCTATGTTTTTCTCCCACTATGTTTTCGTAGTGCCTAGAGAGAGTACCAAACATTGACTACTCTTCTTTTTTCCCCCGGAAAATAAAAATATCTCAGGCAAATGGAATTGTTCCTGTGGAAAGCTTCATCTGCTAGGAAATGCATTACTTTGATGAAAAATTCTTTACTACACCTACTTATGGCACTGAAAATCTAATGAAATAAATGCTGTCTCATGTTATTGCAGAGGTATGCATGCTCTAAAACCTGAAAGCCAATATACTTCAGATGTAATACAATCACACATCACAGTATATGATCCAGAAAATGAGCTAAATCATAAGATTAAGGATACCTCTAAAGCAGTTTGTTGAAACAGATAGTGCTGGCTTTACTTATTTCTACAATGAAATTGCAGAGGGCATACCAACAGCACGTGGACCAGAAAATGTCCATGCAGAATATCAATACATACAACTGAAATTTTATGTCATAGTTCATATCAAGTGGTATTGATAATGATGGGAGTTTGCTTGGAGGTTGAAAAGCAATTATCTAATTCCAGGATGTGTGGTATACACATGATAACACAGACAGGATATGGTAAGAAAGTATACAATTCCATATGTACTTATTAAGTGTTTCAACAGAAACTGTGATTTGGCAACTTGGGACAGCAGGTGACTTGGTTCTACTACAGGACAGAAACCACTGCTGTTTGCAGGAGTGCATGAAAAAAAGTTCCGCAGCTGACAAATCATGCCTTGGGGGAATTCTGTTGTTGGGACTTAGTGAGCATGAAGTAATCAAGTTATGACCATCAGATTAGTAGCCAACTCTAACAAGCATGATTTCTGGTTTTGAGAGCTGTCCCCTGGAAAGAAAAAGCAATAATCGTTTAGCAGGCTATCGTAGCAAACTCTGTAAGTGATTCAGAGTACAAATGGTACAATCAGATTAAAATCTCATTACATCTCTGTTTTATGGGCTTCTGTGAAAATGTGTTGTATTTTTTATTTATTAAAAGCCAAGTATCTAGAGTAGCATTATAAATGCAAAAAGCATTTTTAGCTTTCTGAAATTGTGCAGAGCCTAAAAAAGGTTAATGAGGTGGAAGAAGTAAAAAAAAACAAAATAAAAGAATGAAGGAGGCATGAAACAAGACTAAAGGGGTGACAAGGAGTGTCAAAAATACAACATTGCTAAATGGTCATAGCTCTGTAACTCTTCCTCCCATTTCACCTTTGGGACCACCTCTTCCATCTCTGCCTGGTAAGCCATTGACTGCAAGAGCACTGCACTGAATTATTGGGCAGGAATAAATTTTCTCTTCAGGTTTATCTGTGTTAACTGAACTTGTTACCATCAACAGTCAAAGCCAAAGTACCAAGGCATTGAGGCTGAAGAAGAGTCATTGCTAAGTCCACAGTTCTGTGACAAATCAAGCTCTCCGTTTACATAATTTTAAAGGGAAACAGAGGAAAGAATTGCCTATCTTGCCTAGGAAATACACTCCTGTCTTCAGGCAAAAGACCAAGAAGAAGGAATAGAGTCTGAACCATTTCATCTAGCCTCTGATTGTAACTCTATGTATGGAAACCAGAAAAGAAACAACCAAGCTTATAAGGTGTAATGAAAATACCTAATATAGCAACAGCCATCAATCTCACCATGCTGCAAATACATTTGAATGTTTTGTTCATTGTATGTCTAAGTTTAAAGCGTTTCTCTTCATGCCTAATAAGTCATACAGTATTCCAGTTTGGGATGAATCCTGAACTCTCCAGCTATTGTGCTTCTTTACACAGCTATCGGGATTGCTGTACGTCTAAGCTTAAAGTGATTAAGCTGTTTCTCTTGATAGCATCTCCACTACTAGAAAACACCCACAGTTTAAAGGACAAAAGCTTAAGTGTGTTTAAGCAGTAATGATCTGATTGTCTCCCAGCTTCTCCTTTCAGACCTTGTATATTAATAAGATCCATTTCTTCCACCTCGGTGCCAAATTCCTCTTGAATCCCAGATCTGCAATACTTTGCTGCCCTCTCTGAGCAGAAGAGTAACAGGCAGTAACATCATAAAGCAAAGCACTGCATGATGTTCTGACAAGTTGCACCACAGCAATTGTCCTTGATTTTAATATATCTCTTTATTTTAAGCTTCAGAAAAGATTACTCTCAGAGAGCAGCTTCCCCTGTCATGTTTCATCTGATAAAGTACAATATAATGTATAATCACTAGAATATTACTGTGAGAACATTCTCATTAGGGTGGAAAGTAGAGTTTAAAAAGCACCACTTTTCTATATGCTTCTTCTGTGCTTCCTCCATTAGGCTCACATCAAAATCTGGGGCAATGGCACACACCAAAATAAAATAAGGAAAGATATTTAGGTAACTAGTATAACAAAACTTGAATCCTGGTTTATATTTCTTATCCAGCTTCATGGACTCAAGCCAGTTCTTAACAGCCCTCTAAGGATTTCCTTCTGGTGAATTTTTATACTATGTTAATTATCCAATACCAGGCAAGCTGCCATTGCTGCTGCCTCCCATGAAGGCAGCAAGACAAAGTTCAAAATAATGGCCTGATAAAAGAAAACATGAAAACAAAATATTGAGCACTCTGAGAAATCCTCTCCCTACAGAGATTCAACCTCACGTAAACCTTTGTTGGTTTTGCCTCCCAGGAGACAAGATCTATTTACCTCCAAATTTTTCCAAGCTGATCACCCCAATTCCTTATTCTAGGAGAGCTGAAGCGCCTGTTTACCTTTGGCAAATTGGCGGCAGGGCTTCCTAGCAATGAAATCCATTCCCAAAGAGACTAACAATAATTTGCACCAACAGCCATTTAGATAAAAAAGCAGGATTATGCAAATTTCTCACAAAAATGGAGTAAAACTTGGAGAGCTGAAATAGAAAAAACAGGTTTTGAATCCATATTTGTTTTTAGAGAAGATGGAGAATCCCACTAAGTGTGGGCGTAATGACAGTCCTCAGGTCTCAAGGCTTACACAGTTGCAGATATTCTCAGCAGAGATCAGAATTAGGCCTTGAAAGATGCCATGAAACTTTTGTATTTAAGAGGTAGCTAGTTCTGGAGATCCTATTTAAAGACAAAGATCTTTTGTTCGCCCATAAAAAAGTGCTTTAGGACACAACCCACCCAATGCAGGTAGCAGCAGGGAAGGGATCCTGGTAGAGGCAACAAGGGGTCCTTGTTCCGGACCTAGTCTTGGAGGTGACAGCTCTGAGTCATTAGCCCAAAACCTGACAGTTTGACAGCACAGGACAGCCCTACTGAAGTCAACTACTAGGGAAACTGCTCCTCAAAAGCAGATACTATGTTTATACAGAGAGTACTCAGGGACAGAATGCTATTAAACTGACAGAATCATCCTGCTAACAGTCCTCCTCATCAGCTTGCTGTGCTCCAGTAGGGCAAAAAGTCCTTTCCATCTGACATGTCTGCACCCCCAAGGGTTGCGTGGTCTCAGTATAGTCAAGTACTTATAGCAAGAGAGATTGTTACTTACCAACACCTTTACTTGATCAAGTACATACTGAAACTCTTAGTGCACCCCTGGTTGCACTTCCCTGACAGCCAGCACAACAGAACGTAGTAGAGAAAAAATGGAACCTGCTGGATTTTTACCATGAGGACGAGCCTGCAAAGAGAAAAAAAATATCCTACATTTCTACTATAAGCTGTAATTTTGTGCTTCATTTTAGGAAAAGGTTTTTTACTGGCATATCTCTGTCTTGCACAATCCTAACGATGCCCTACCTCAATCTTTCCTCCCCTATTTACAGGGATTGCATATGACAGTCTAGGACTGAGCCCTTTGCTCTTTGCCTGGCCTTGGACAGACATTGGCTGTGTTACAGTACAAATGAACAACCAAAAAATCAAAACAACTGCAGGCACTGAAAGTTTTGACTGTAAGGTTTTTCCCCTTTATTCCGTCAATGGATTCATTTGCGAATAACCTAGGAGAGAGAAAGATATTTGAGGTTTGCTTGACTGCAGTGACTGCCTTTCCTGCAATGTACTCTGAATTATACCTGGAAAAAAACTTGACCAACTCAAACATACACATTTATGTTTAAAAATGGGATGTGGGATTTGGAAAAACAACATGGGGTGAAGGAATATATCTTTAAACTTTTAAGTAAATCACTTACTAGTTATCTTCCTATAAAGCTGGTGACACAGTTAGTAATTAGAATAAACTTCTCAGTAGCAGTTGCACTGTCCAGCTGGCTATGGTACCATTGTGTGGACATGAAAAGGACAGTAGCAAGAATAGTGTGCAGGATATTGCCACAGGTAGCTCTACAGAATTAATAACATAAAATATAACGCTGAGGAAGAGATGTCTTGGGCAATTCTTGCACAAAATTTCCTTAGCCAGAGTAAAGTGTATTAGACATCTCCAGCTGCAAAAAACAAATTCTCCATCCCTCCAGCAGTGTCAGGAGTGCTTTTGTTCCCAAGATCCCATTTGTGGGGCTGCTGTTCTCTGATGTGGGCATCAGAAAGAGACGTTGTAGGCTGTCAGGCTGCCTTTGTATTTTTCCTGTACAGGAGCTAGAATAAATTTAGTCTCAGTAAAAATAAAATTAAAACATCAATTCAGAGCAGTGCTATTTCTCAGCCATGATTTGATAAAAACATTGTAGAGTCAACATCATTAAACAGAGATTTGGAACTAGAAATTTATTTTTTTAATAGGAAGCTGAAATTTCCACACCGACCTTTGCTGTTCTGGGCAAGACCAAATGAGGTATCTATCTGCTGTCAACACATGGTATGACAGGGCTCATCTTTGAACCTTATAACCCACAAAAATGTCTGGTTTGCTGAATGTCTGTTAAACTTCCCTGAGGGTTGCTTGCCTGCAAAAGCAGAAGCATGAAGCAGATAGGGTTCTCAGCAGCTTCCCCACCCCTAGTTCTCTCCAGGCCAGGACACCATCTTGCTGAAACGTAGTTTATCACACAGTAGAAATTTTACTACACTGTGACAAAACCAGCATGTTTCTATGTGGTATCCAAACGTCCAGGACTATTGTAAATTCCTGCATTAGGGGACAAATAAAAATCATAAGGGCAGGTGACTTGTATTCACAAATTATTAAGTATCTTTCCTCACTGGATTTCTAATTTCATTTTCTATCTCCTTACTTCTATACAGCCTTCCATTCCTCCAGAATTATTTGGTTCTCCTGATTCCCAGTTTGAGTACCGAGTTCCTCACTATTTAGATCCTTGAACATACCTTCTTTCTGCGTATCATTCATCTGGGGGAATGGTCTTATGTCTGGCTGCTCTTTGATATATGGTGCAGCTCTCTGCAGATTTCCTTGGAGAAGCAAGCAGCTCAGCACGTGAGAACACTTGGCTTTTGAAGTTTCAAACTTGCCTTTGGAGCCATCAGTTTTGAGTATTCTTTATCAGCAGCAATATCATATGGGAATAACAGAAGTGGGAACTATATCCAATTATTTTCATCACAGCATAGCAGGGTGACAGCTTCTAGACACTTGCAAAAGAATATATGGCTAAAGCAGTGAATAGAAATGCACAGCTAGCTCATTGATTCACTTTGATGTCAGACCAACAGAGTGCTCCTATCCCCAAACCAGGAGTTTACAAAGTATTTCAAACTTTTCATTGAGACAACTAGAGTCAGGATTAAAGAGTTTTGAAGAACAAAACCCTAGGAATAACCTTGTTTCAGAAAAATCTCAGACCAGGCATTATGGAGCACCATTCTTAATAGGTGTTCATACAGCGAGTTTAATTAGAGCTCTTAGAAAGATATGAAGTGGAAGCTGTCCTGTGCAGGGTCTTTTTCTTCTGAATTAGTAGTGATTTATCCCTTGCCTGTGTTACCTCCCATGCGCCTGTACTTCTGTACAGCAAGAAGGACGGAGCAGAGCTGAAGCTTTTCATCTATTTCTTTTCACTTGTCAGCCACAGAGACTATGCAGATGAACAGTTCCTTCCTGTTTTGGGGTAGTAGCCCGAGCCAGCCCCCACTAATGAAAAAATCTTTGGATGTCCTGTGTCCTCTCTATGTGTTACAAGCAAGGTAAAAGTATCAACTGCTTGTGAGAAAGGAGGGAATTTATATAGTGGGACACACTAGGAACAATGCCGTAATAATAACCCAGATAAGCAGGAATAGAAGAATTACAGAGTCTCATCCTTTATTCATGCTAGAAATTAGACAGCATTAGCATCAGCGTGCATAATGCTCTGAGTTCATGTCTATGTATCAAAATAAAGAGCTAAACAAGCAGATCCCAGCATGTTTCCAGTGGATATTAATGAGAGCCAGATATTCTTTAATTATTTTTCTGTCCTGGGCCAGACAGCTGACAAACTAGGAACAAAGCAGAATTTTG